CGCCATGTAGCCCAGAATAAGTCTACCAAGTGCTGTGTGCAGTGCACAGGACGCCCCACCCCCTGCTGAGGATTGCTTGCTCCAAAGTGTCAGCCCAGCAATCTTTGCAATTTGAGACCAGGCTTGGCTGTGTAGTGAGTTCCAGGCCATCTAGGGCTACACAGACTATCTCAAAAAAAAAATTCTTTTGGCTAGAATGCCCATAAATGATTTATTTTCTGTGCATTTGTATTTTGTCTGCAAGTGTGTGTTCAATCCAGGAAATTGAACCTGGATCCTTTAGAAAAGCAGTCAATACTGAGGCATCTCTCCAGCCTCTATAGTAGTTTTTTCAGGGTTTTTTTTATATATACAACATCCTGCTTCCATGTCTATCTGCACACCAGAAGAGGGCACCAGATCTCATTATGGATGGTTGTGAGCCACCATGTGGTTGCTGGGAATTGAACTCAGGCCCTCTGGAAGAACAGGCAGTGCTCTTAACCTCTGAGCCATCTATCTCTCCAGCCCCATAGTACAGTTTCTTAAAGAATACTTGTACAAAACTGAAATTGCTTCCATATTAAAGGAAGTAAACTCCCTCCACCCCCATTATTTCTTTATTTTTGAGGCAAGGTCTCCATAGTGTTGCCCTGGCTGTCCTGAAACTCACTATGTAGAGCAGGCTGGTTTTGAACTGCTAGCGATCTTCCTGTCTCCCTTGTGTGTGTGTGTGACTTAACCAGTCACTTGTTGAGTTGTTTGTCAAGGCTCACATTCACAACCTGCTGGGGGCACGCCATGCCTAGAGCCAGTTCTCAGTCTCCTCAGATGCCCACCTGAGGGAGGGCTGGCCCCACCCCTGACTGCCCCGTCATCCTGGCTTTGGCACGCAGGATTACATTGCTGTGAAGGAGAAGTATGCCAAGTACCTGCCCCACAGTGCGGGGCGGTATGCCGCCAAGCGCTTCCGCAAAGCCCAGTGCCCCATCGTGGAGCGCCTCACCAACTCCATGATGATGCACGGCCGCAACAACGGCAAGAAGCTCATGACGGTGCGGATCGTCAAGCATGCCTTTGAGATCATCCATCTGCTCACTGGCGAGGTAAGCTTCGCGGACACGTGCCAGGTGCAGCGCCTATGACGCTGCCGCCTTGTTTTGGTGGGGTTGGGGTGGATGTCAGGCTCATGGCCCTCCTTTCTGCTAGAACCCTCTGCAGGTTCTGGTCAATGCCATCATCAACAGTGGCCCCCAGGA